GGCGATGTCATCTCTGAACGGCATTTTTAAATGTCCGATAACATGTAATTGAAAAATGCAAAACAGTGAGTCGTGGAAAGCGAGATGTTATGAACTTGTTTTTATGCCTTCATTTAGCACTGTTGACATTGAAAGTGTCTAAATAGAACCCAGCCATCATTGTTTATACCTTGCTTTTCCCACAGTACAATGTCTGGACGGGTCTTTGATGGAAAACAGCTACTGTTTGCTTTAATTAAGGTGATAACGGACAGGGCACATGAGGTTGGGAACAGTAATGGAAAAGTAATTGAATTTCATATCAGAGCTCGACAAGCATTTTGTGATCTCGTGGCTAATTTTGAGAATTCCTTGTAAACCTGACAGCTGAAGGTGGAGAACTTGAGCAGCGACTGAAGGTTTATGAACTCTGTAATCTTGCGTTTGCCAGTCAGCGTTGCATTAAGGGGATTAGGGCTTTGGCTTTGTTTCGTGCCTGTGATTGTTTGGAGTAGCTCTGAGTCGAGCCAGTGGGAGGCACAAACTCTCACTCACTTTCTGAGTGTTTTAATAAGGCTGGTTATAAGCCATGTTGTTCCAGCAACTGAAATGGTGTGAGAGACGAGTGGGTCTGCAGTTCCCATGGGCCAAACCAGACAGTAAAGAGCGATAATTAGAGAGAGTTAAAAAGAAAAAGAGAAAAGTCTCTTGTGTCTGTAGTATTTTAGCTTTATGTAAAATATTCAGTACATCTCTAAACAGAGGTCTATCATGCAGCGATAGTGTTCAGCTGCTCCAAATGGCAAAAACATTGTTTCAGGGCTGGCTGAGCGCTCGAGGCTTTGTTCTGCTGATCATAAGGTCATTGGTTCAAGCCCCTGCATTGCCAAGCTGCCACCATCGGGCCCTGAAGCAAGACCTGTAACCCTATCTGCTCCAGGTGTGGCTGACCCACAGGCTTCCTAACAGGCTTGAATATGTGGAAAGACTGCATTTTGTTGTGCAATGACCGTAAAAGTTTCATCTTCCGTCTTCATTTTACCTTTGAAAAATACCTTTGGATTATTAGAGGTTTGTCTTCTCTCTAGTGTGTAAGTTTCTCAACAGAAAATTAACTTTTTTATGATTGATTAATTAGGAAATCACCTTTAGAAATGGGAAAGTGCCCATTTCTCCCCATTATACATGAAACATTTTTCTTATTTTACCCTAAACTGTATCCAAAAGCCAACTTTGGTGTGACGTTTGACCCCCAAAACACACTGGTGCAATTGAAATATATTATATTTGGGGGGAAAAAATGCAAAAATTACACCATTAATCAGGGCCAGAAGCTGCAAAAACAACGAAAATATGTCAGATTTTCAACTTTCTCATGGCCCTTGAACTACTTAAGGTATCATTCTGTCAGAAAACATGATCAAATCTAAAGTTAAAACTTCAACATTATATCAAAATCACTTTGGTCTACATGTCTTAATTAAAAATTGGCCAAAAATAAACAATTTGCAGCAATCAGACTTTGTAAAAAAATAAAAATTCTGTGCACATCAGCACAACCAGCAAGCCATTAGTGGTTCATCTACAACCAACAATCATATAATAAAAATTCAGGGATGTTTTTTTTTTTTGCTGAACTAGGCTGAACTGCAGGCCGTGTTAACAAAAATGTTCAAAGTGAAATATCTATAATACGTAGAGTCCCCATTTATTCCAGTATTGGTAATCTGTGGGCACTTGGAAAAGTGTTGTACATGTTGATTCCATTATAACTGAGCCTTAATGCACAGAAGACATTTCTCTCTACCTCTAGTCCATAAGAGGTGCAGCTCTTTGCATTGCAGTGACAAAAGAGCCCCCAGTGAGTAAAAATGTGAGCCAGACTGTCATCGGTCTTCTCCTTTTGCAGTAAAGCCTACAGCAGCATGTGGAGTGGTGTCTGCTCAGGTAAAGGAAAAACGTCAAAAATGTCACAGCCTATTGAAGTAACACTTGCTCTGAGCTAATGCCTCTTGAGCCTCACCAGACCACTTTTTAGCCAAGTGGAAATAGCGAGTTGGCTTTTGCACGGCTGAGCCAGCGAGCTGCTGACGCCTGAATATTGTCACTTGTCTGCAGATGCCTGTCGCTGAGTGAATGCAGACATCTGTTAAGATTCAATTTCTGGGTAATTAAATCCTTCAAATTTTTCAGAACGCGGTCTCCTACTGCTAGCTGTCAGCAGCAGACGTGTCGCCTTTATTTCTTCTCTTTGACAACTCAGACGCACTTAGAGCTGGAATTTACAAGATGAACAAAAAAAAAAAATGGAAGAAGTGAGATTATACAGCAGCGCAAAGAGAGAAAATCGCTGAGAGAAAGGCGAGCAAATGACAAACGGAGCGTACATTGTGTTCCTCGCTGTACAGTTGTCTTTACAGTGAACCCGGTTTACCCCCATTAATCCTCCGCTGCCCCTCTGCATGTGTGTTACAGAACATCTAACCCACACAAAGACACTCATTCACACACATTCTCGCTGGTTTTGAGTGCAAAGGAAGTCTTAGCCCAGAGCGATGGCTTTCTAAAAAGGAGGGAAAGCGCAGCCGGTGAAATCTGCTAATGAAGCCTGATGAACAGCCACTTCTATTCTCCTCCTCCTCCTCCTCACCCATCCACCCCCTCACCCCTCAGCTTCCCTCACACTTCCACTCTTTCTCCCCTGTTTCACGTCGCTCCCTCTTCCCTGCGTCGCCGCTGAATACATTTGGGTTAATAGTCTATTGCTGCTGATTGAAGCTCTCACAGGCTTCTCAGCGCTGCTGCTTAGAGGAAGAACACTCAAGCATTTCAGCGCTGCTTAATATGCACTGATAAAAGAAGCAAAACCTTTAAAAAAAAGAAAGAGAAAAGCTTCCCAGAGCTGGCAGAGACTAGACTATTAATTAGCAAAATATATCTCCTGCTGAGTTAACGTGAAGTAAAGTTCAGGATTTACTTCACAGGACACTTTGTGAACCTCTGAAACACATTAAATAGGTGAAATAAGCTTCGACCTAATCAGTCTGTTTGGACAAAAAAAACCACTTTGTCGTATTTATTGAAGGTTTCAGCAGGATGATGATCTTCTACCTGCTAGAGATGTACTAGTTTGGTGTAAAATCCTTGCACAAGTGTTACTTTGACCCACAAGAACCCGGTAAATTTTGGATTACTTTGTTTAAAATTGGGGCTGCAAGGTGGATCAGTGGTTAGCACCTCGCAGCTAGAAGGTCGTCGGTTTGTATCCCGGTGAGGACACCTGGGATCTGTTTGCATGTTCTCCCCGTGCAGCGTGGGTTCTCTCCGGGTTCTCCGGCTTCCTCCCACACAGTCCAAAAACATGTTGAGGTTAATTGGTGATTCTAAATTGTCCGTAGGTGTGAATGTGAGTGTGCTTGGTTGTCTGTCTCTAAGTGTAGCCCTGTGATAGACTGGTGACCTGTCCAGGGTGTCCCCTGCCTTCACCCTAAGTCAGCTGGGATAGACTCCAGCCCCCCATGACCCCAGTGAGGATTAAGCGGTGTATAGATAATGGATGGATGGATGGATGTTTGAAATTGTAAGAGCACTGGCCTTGGCAGAGGACAGCACTTTTCCCTCTAGCTTGATAATGTGCAGTTTAAATTTTAAAGGTCGAAAATGGCATAATTATCCAACTTGTTTAGAGTTCTGGCTAATTAAAAGAGGAGATTGTGATCCGGTTCACGTTTTGTCATATTCAGGGATCATCTTCTCACGCTCCTCTACAGTGCACAGAACTTTTACATTTTCTGTAAATGGGAATCCGCTTAACTCGACTCCATCGCCCGTCTGGAGTGCACGTTCACGCTCGTGCACGGTCACGCTCGTGCACTGGATAGGTAGCACTGAAAGGCTTGCTAAATCTGCTAACTATGCTAACGGCTACAAATGATAGCAACAATCTTTTCTCCAGAATCACAGACTCTACCTTTATCTTTTTAATGTTTGTGACACTGACAATTTGTGATAAACAAAAATAGAGAAAATGTGCTGAAAATTAGCTTTGTTGTTGATGCTAACCGCTAGCCTCGATGGTAAAAATATTCTATAATAACCCTTAAAGTCTTTGCACGGAAGCGTATCATTGCATATCTGTCAAACACTTACAGGGACACAATGGAAAACATCTTTGGTAATGAACATTTTTGTGTATTTTCTACTGAAAATTCTGCAACCATGTGCGAGAAAATACAAACAACAGAAAGTTACGTTTATACAAAGTTCTTCAGGTTACAAATAAAGTCTCAGTGCAGTTTACAGCATTCACCCATCAACATAATGGTTTTTCCTTACGCTGGGGAGAAAGAAAAATAACTTCAAGTGTTTATTTCCGTCCAGCCTTCTTGAGCGAATACATTTTTAAAAAACCACACTTGGTTAGAAACTGAGTCACTGAGTCTGCTGTTGTGAGAAAAATACATACAGTCCACCTTTTTTTTGATATTCTCAGAGAACAAAACCAATGTTTCCATCGCTTTAGGTCAGTTTAAGGTGAGGAATGTTAAACCGGGAATGACTGTTTTAAGGGGCACATTGTGTTATGCTGGATTCCTCTGTGTCTGTTTTGAGTCGGGCAGGCAGGGGTGGGTAGAGGCTGGCAGACCGACAGATGGATGATAGCTGTTATCTCTGAAAACACAGTCTGCCTCGCTCTCAGCCTGTCTTTCTCTGCCGTTCTTCATCTGTCATTTTTTTTTTTTTTCCTCTCATCTCCGTCCCTCATCACTCAAACACACACTGAGGCAAATCAGACAGACACAGATATGTATTCTACTAAACCAGCCATAAAAGCTCCACAACGACCTGCTGGTGAGGTGTGTTTAGGTTCTTGATGCAACATTTGTCCTGATTTAAGGGGTCAGAGCTGGACTCTATCAGTTCATCAAGGAAACAGGACACTCCCGTGCAGAAATATGCAAACATTTTCTGTTTGTTTGAGAGGTCAAGTGCAGGTCTTAACTTTTGTTCTTCCTCTCCAGGGCTCTGGTGTTTGTTGTCCATGGCGCCGGGGAGCATTGCGGGCCGTACGATGAGATTGCGCAGAGGCTGAAGGAGCTGTCCCTGCTGGTGTTTGCACACGACCACGGTGAGTGACAGACGCATTTGCAGGGCTGTGATGGCGTGCATGCATTTACACCTCCGTCATGTTTGCCAGGAGTTCATATGCAAAAATGGCTTCATAAACATCCATCGTCTTTGTGTCTGTTTAGTAACTGTCCTTGTTAATTGTTGTGGAGGGGCTAAGCCCAGTAGAGAAAAAATAATTAGGTGGTAAATTGCTTTATTGTTCTGCAGCAGCGCCTCTGTGTCAGTGTGTAGGTGGTGCGCTTTTAATTCACTGTCAGGGAACATGTCACACAGTGGCTGTGTCCTAAATCACTCCCTGTGTCCTGTGTAAGTGCACTATATAGGGCATTTTGTAGGGGTGCCCGAATGTTAAGTTACAAATGTTACACCCTATATAGTGCACTCAAAATATCCCACAATGCACCGTGACAAGTAGTGTACAGCCGATGGTCACTAACCGAGTAATATGGACCGTCATGCACAGCGCGAAAGGAAATGGAAACGAGACAAACTCAAAAAATTCCCGTTTGTTTTGTTAAATTTTATTTCACCCGGACAGTGAACGTCGCTAAAATTGCAGCGCTCGGTTGTGATTTGGACATAGGACACTACTTTAATTAAATTGGTTTAAGTTACTGGATCCTGAAGAAACGCTCTCTCATCTGGTATGTACAGCAAAATGACAATAAACTTGATTTAGTTAGATTTCTTAGCTACGCAATAAACTGAATTTGATGTGTTTGTACTACGCTGTTGCGGTACAAATTGCGGCTAGCGAGCGACGTAATTAATAGCTCGAGTAGTGTCCGAAATGTTACTTTGCCGAGGTGCCTCCTATATAGTGATCACTATAGGGCAGGGGTGGGCAATCCTGGTCCTCGAGGGCCGCAATCCTGCATGTTTTAGATCACGGGTGTCCAATCCTGGTCCTCGAGGGCCGCAATCCTGCATGTTTTAGATGTTTCCCTCTTCCAACACACCTGATTCAAATGATCAGGATGGTTTTCAGGCTTCTGCAGAGCTTGATGATGAGCTGATCATTTGAATCAGGTTGTTGGAAGAGAGAAACATCTAAAACATGCAGGACTGTGGCCCTCGAGGACCAGGATTGGACACCCCTGCTATAGGGAGTAGGGAGTGAGTGGGTGATTTCAGACACAGCCAGTGTTGTTTCACCAGATGTTAATGAAACTTCAGGTACGTAGGTTTCAGGGAAATTCTGCCCAGTTTGACCCGTCAGCTCAGGCAGAACCGGTTCAATCCGTCTGCATTTTAAGCTTCAGGTCGGGCATTTTGTTCCAGAGGAAATCAAGTAAAGTTCAGTAATATTGTCAAACATCATGCAGTGTCTGTGTGGTCTTGAAAGGCTCACACAGGAAACCCAGCTGAAGAGGTTTGGAAGGAATGTTGTCTTTACAAAATCACCAAAATTACACAATTTTCCAGCTGTAAGAACTGAGAGAACCACTAAATGTTGAACTCTCTGATGGTTCCTGAACAACTCATCAGTGAAGTGTCATTAATTTGGGAAACTTCACCAAATCTGAGCTTATTCCAAGTTGTGTTGTATCATCAAAATCACATCATTTCTCATGTAGTTGTGTTAGTTAACAGTTATGCGACAAAAAATCAGGGATTTTTGTGTTAGTTTGCACAGAACAAAGAGGAGAAAAGTATTAAAACAAATAAAAAATGTAAGAAGTTAAATATCTATAGTGTGTAGTGCTGCCGTTCTATTTTTCAGTGGTGATCACACGTGTGGGCACTTAGTAAAATTTTGTACATGTTTATTAAAACTTTTCCCAAATTTTGTGAAATAAATAATCAAAGAAGTTCAACTATTTTCTTTTTTTAAATGATTTACGGTATTAAAACTGTTTCATGCTGCACCAAAGACATTTTTGAGTTCCTTCTACTTCTACTCAGGCTTGTGCTGTTTCCATAGCGGGTCAGGACTTTATGTTGCAATAAGAAATGAGCTCACAGTGAGAAAAAATGTACGAAAACACCCAGAAACTACCTGGAGATCAGAGGGTTAAATAAAATAAGATATTGCACTTAATGCTGCAACATGCATGTGCAGGTCCGTGTGGATTACAGCTCTGACTGCCCTGCAGGAAGGCGCCCGCTGCCCTTCTAGTGTCGGCAGCATAAACCTGTGCTGTGTGTTTCTTCTGTGTGATTAGCTTTGTAGTTTAGAACGGGGGTTAAATCAAGGGTCACACTATTGTTTCTCTTTTATTGCTCCTGCTTGGAAGGTCATTTAGTTGTTGTTATTGTTGGTAATGCTCCAGATTTTTTGATTGTTAGAACTTTCAATCAAATAGTCCAGAAAAAAACGCTCACTTCACAACCTGCTCTGACAGCCTTTACATCTATAGTTTTTTTTTTTTAAACGTCTTGTCAATGGAAAAATGCTCTCTTGGCCAACTGTGCTCTGAGCTACTGTTTGGATGTACTTGGCAGGTATTAGATACTGCAGGAATGTGTGAACTCGTGAGACTCAGCAACAGACAAGAGCCTTAAACAGCAGCATGTGTGCTCAGTAAACTCTTCTACAGGTGAACCACAGAGGATGTGAGACGACAAAGAAATGAAGTCTCAGCTGTGGAAGCCCTTACAGAGGTGGAGCTCTCAATAAAACGCTGACAGAGATAATAAAAAAAAGGGTGAATGATGAGGAAGACGGAGGCTGCTCACAGAGGAGCAGTTTGTTCAGCGACTCGCGGTAAAATGTCACACTGTTAAATGGAAAATACTGAACTGGAACAAGTCCCCGTAGACGCTGGTTTTTCATCTGTTCCTCTCACACTTACACAGAAACACACACCGCCTCGAGCAGTTGACATCTTTCGCTCTTTGTCGTTTGTACTTTCTTTTCTGTTTCTCGTGTGTTTCTTTCTAATTATAGGACTTTAAGTCGTTTTCCCTTCCCTCCCTGCACAGACTGGAGGATTCTTCCATCTGTCAGACGCTGCATATATTTATCAGTCAGCTTTATTTATAGATCGATTACAAGTTACAGAATTTATCTAACAGGAGTTGATTAACAGCTCAGACTTCGGAAGCGAAATCCAAAACTC